AGTAGGTGCTTCAGACCACTGAGCCATCTTACCAGCCCCGAAAAATATATTTAAATCATTAAGCATTTATGTAAAATCCCAGTTGAATGTGAAGGTATCTGGAACATACCAGTTGTACATTTTGTGTTTGGACTGTTTTTGGACTATATTCATTAGCTTTCTTGATTGCAGTTTCTTAATAATTCTTGTCTACTTAAGGCAGACAGTTGAAGACATGCAAGCTGAAATAGACCAGCAAAGAGTTGAAGATGAAGCTTGGTACCAGAAACAAGAACTGCTTCGTAGAGCTGAAGAAACAAGAAGAGAAATGCTCTTACGGGAGGAAGAGAAGATGGTAGACCAAAGGCAGAGGTACGTTTTACCAAGTTGAGAATCTCTGGACACATTATTCAAGTGAATAATTTTTATTTTCTTCTGTTTTCTTGTTAGAAACAGAACTAATGTACAACTGTCCAGCTTAATTTCTATTAAGCATATATTTAAGTTAATAAAAAGAATATATGGGGGCTGGTGAGATGGCTCAGTGGTCTAAAGCACCTACTTAGAACAAGCCGCGGTTCAATCCCCCAGCACCACATGCCAGCCAGTGCTGCCTCCTGGTGGGCTGAGCTGGCCACACACACACACACACACACACAAATAAAAATTAAATTAAAAAAATCAAATGTTTAAAAAAAAAAAGAATATATGCCACTTCTCAAAAAACTTATATATAGAAGTATTTTTGTAAAGCTATAAGACATAATTATAAGGCATAATTTATTTAATTTGAGTAATATTTCTGAAATGAATACATAGCATGAGATTAATAATAGATTGCACATTGTAAATAAATTATTTACAAACTTAAATGAATATAACAATAAAAATTGTTGGGCTGGTAAGATGGCTCAGTGGTCTAAAGCACCTACTTAGAACAAGCCGCGGTTCAATCCCCCAGCACCACATGCCAGCCAGTGCTGCCTCCTGGTGGGCTGAGCTGGACACACACACACACACACACACACACACACACACACACACTCTAAAATAAATAAATATTTTGAAAAAAAACAAAAAACAATAAAAATTGTCCAAAATAAAAAGAAGGAAGAATTTACAGATCAGTCATACAATAGTTCACTCTATGCAAAAATCAAGAAACTTATATTCGTATAATTAGAATTCTCAAAGTAGAAAGGGGTAGGCAATAAGTATTTAAAGATTTAAAGTTTCTAAATTTAGTTGAACTTATAATACCACATTTCCAGGAAAAATGAACCTTTTGCACAAGAAATTTGAATAAAATCACACCAAGATACACACAAATGAAATTACATAAGGCATAATTTATAAGACATAATTCTGCACTGATTATTCAGATGTAGTATGAGACCCGACATACCTTGAAGGACACTGTTCACGCACCGTACAGTGAGCAGACGATGCTTTGTGATGGGGCGCTGGGTAAAGGACTTGCCGGGAGCATAATTTTTAAATCATAATTTAAAGGAAAACCATCAACCTCACAATGGAAACATAAAACTTCTGCATTTAATACTTTGGCAAGCAAAGGAATAAGTATTAAATGTTTAAAAGTATGTTAATAAAAAATGTTTAAATTGATTAAAATTGTGGAATAAGCAAGTAGATAGACTGAGCCAAACTCAAGAGAATTCATTTCTCTTAAGTGTTTATTGATTCTTATTGGAACTTTATGAAACAGAATTGTGAGGTACATTAGAAGCTGCTTCAAGGCCCGGACAGATAGCTCAGCAGACTGAAGCACCTGCTTGGGCAGCACGCACATGCTGGGCTCCATCCCCAGCGTGCGCTGCCGGCCGCGCCCCCGAGGCGCACCGAGACAGTGGTTGAGACCGGCATGGTGGCGCGTACCTGTAATCCCAGCGCTTGGGAGGCTGAAAACAGGAGGATCGCTACAAGTCCGATCTACGTAGAGACCCTGTAGACCCTGTACTAAATTCATTTAAAAAAAAAGCAGGTACAGAATAAACATATATCAGGGGTTGGCGAGATAGCTCAGTAGCATAAGCACCTGCCTGGCAAGAGCAAGGTCCTGAGGTCAATCCCCAGTACAAAAATTTAAAAAATAGATAAATAAATATACGTCATATTTGGTAACACTGGGGCATTTATTAGCATTTTTCCTTCATGTAAAGGCTATCACTTGTTTTTTGTTTTTGTTTTTGTTTTTTTAATTTATTTAGGTGTGGGTGTGGGTGGGTGTGGCCAGCTCAGCCCACCAGGGGGTGGGGCTGGCTGGCATGTGGTGCTGGGGATTGAACCGCGGTCCCTGTGCTTTGCTAGGCTTGTTCTAAGTAGGTGCTTTAGACCACTGAGCCATCTCACCAGCCCCAAGGCTATCACTTGTGCTGAGAAGTTTGAATGTGGAAAGGATTGCCACCCAAGTGTGGTGGCACACACCTGTAATCCCTGCACTTGAGAGGGGGAGGCAAGAGGATCATTGTGAGTTCAAGGCCACCCTGGGCTGCAGGGTGAACTCCAGGCCAGCGTGAACTGCACAGCAAGGCCTTGTCTGAAGAGGACAGAAGAAAAGAACTGCCAGTCCAGTCTGTGCCACTTGTCATCTTTGTGAAGGCAGCTTGTGCAACTGGGAATCTTTAATTTATATATTATAGACGCGGTTACATTATAGTGGTGCAAGTCAGTTTGGGAAAGTGCATTGAAGTAGCTGGTCAGCAGAAGTCACTGTGCTGAAATAGAATCTGCATTGGAAAAGCTTTGTTCTTCTTGATATATTCTGTGTTTAAGACTAGCTGCTGTGAGAAGAGAGCTGAAACTAAAGGAACTACAGTTACAGGATGCTGCGAGGAGACGTTTCCTAAGGCTTCAACAAGATCAGCGAGAGATGGAACTGCGAAGACTGGATGATGAAATTGAGAGAAAGGTTTATCTTTTACTTAGTATTCATAAATTATCTCCATTTTTTCTCATTTAATGTAATGAATACCTTCAAATTAAATAATATTCTGGGTCCACAATGAATACTACACAGCCCCTTTAATTTTTGCTTACTTCACCTCCAAATTCTTACTCTTTTATGTATTTCATTAATGGTTAAATAGTTAAGAAATTCTGGACTGCTGCCTGGGATGGTGCACCTCTCTAGCCCCAGTAACTAGGGAGGCAGAGGCAGGAGGATGGCAAGTTTGAAGCCAGCCTGGCAATTTAATAAGATTTTATCTCAAAATTTAAAATATAACCTAAGAGGGCTGGAGGTGTAGCTCAGTGGCAGAGGGCTTGCCTAGCATGTGTGAGTCCCTGTGTTCCCTCTCTCATAATGCCAAAAAAGAAGAAATATCAGGAAAATTATTATGTTTATGTCCTTGATGACTACATCTCTAAAAATAAAAATGTTTAAGTTCACCATTTTTTTCTTTTTTTGGTGGAACCAGGGATTGAACTCAGGCCCTTGCGCTTGCCAGGGAAGCGCTTTTTCTACTGCGCCGTCTCCCCTGCCCCCCAAGTTCACCATTTCAAGTGAACTGTGAACAAGGAGAAATGTTCTTTTTATGATAAAAATGTATGCGTGGGCAGTATAAAAAGAATTTTCCATACAACTATATAGAATTTAAAGTGGGCCTTTTATGTTGTCTCATTTCATCTCAAGAGATAATTTTTTTAAAAATGGTTAATTATGTAGTTTTTCAGGTATATGTTTATAAATAGAAGAATAATTATAATCCCATCTTTCTATACTTACACAAAATGTTCTCCTCCTGCCTCTGGCTTTTGGTGGACTGGGGATCAAATGCAGAACCTTGCGCTATGCGGGGCAAGCACTCATTCCACTGGGCCATCTCCCCAGCCCTGCCACCTTTTGCTTTTGTACCAGATTTTTTGTATTTCAGAGAAGGGTCTTTTCAGAGTCTCACAACTAGATGGGACTCATAGTGATCCACCTGTTTACAGCCTCCCAACAGCTGGGATTACAGGTGGGCACCACCACACCCAGGCTCAATTGCTGACTCAGCACGCCCAGGGCAGGGCCAGCATGGCAGGCCTGGGAATCGAACCCCAGCCCCCAAGCCTGCTTGCAGGTGCTTTACTCTGCTGAGCCCTTTGTACCAGATTTTTAAAATATTTGTCAAATATCCTTTCATACTGTTATACGTGTATATATTTTTCTTTTTTGTGGTTGCTTAGTATTTCCACAGCTAAGTTTATCATAGCTTAAGTCTTTGCTGTTGGACATTTAGGTCATTTGCAGTATAAAGCTATACTGCATTGTTTCAGTGTAAAAATGGTTTAAGCTTGTTTAACCATGTAAGCAGTTCATTACTAGGTGCTCACCTCTGCCCTAGACTATTGGTTTCAGGGTGTGTCGGTCTTCGTATTTGCCCGCCTGCTCAGCTACAAGAGAGTACCCTAACTAGCCCCACCTCCCTTGCTGTGGAAGTTCAGTCTCTTCAGTTCCCTTTATTTGTAGAGGAATTGCATATTCATATCATCCTTGCATCTGTCAACTTGTTTTTCCTTACTCACTTAGGTGGGCTGTGTCATTTGGGACATCATTGTCTCGTTAAAATATATCATGAGGGGGCCTGGGCCTAGCTCAGTCCTTTCAGTGGCTGCTTCCACAAAGCTGTCAGCCTCAGGTTCCTGGAGTTCGAACCTCACAACTCTCCCGCTGGCCAAACGTGCCCTGAAGGCATGCGAGGAACATAAATAAATAAATAAAATAAAATAAAATGTATCATGAGCCACCTGTGCAATTTTAAATTTACTAGTGACTATACTAATAATTTAAAAAAAAAAGTTAAGTAACATTTTATTCACCTAAGTTATTTGCAAGTTATCACTTCATGTAATAAGTATAAAAATATGAATGGGTAGTATACTCTTATGTTCTTCAGTACATTGTACAACACGCCTCAGTTCGCACCGGTCACACCGTAAGTGCTCAACAACCACAGGTGGCTGGTGGTTGCATACAGCGGAGGGCTGGTACAGCTGCCTTTCTGTCTGATAGAAATGATTTCTATTGATCTGGCTTGCCTGCCTCTTGAGAATTTTTATTGTGTTTTTTTGTTTTGTTTTTTTGTCTTGCAAAATTTTCATTTTCAGGTTCTATTCATATTTAGAAAGACTTATCACATTCTGGGGTAGTATTTTACATATTTTCTTCTAGCTTCATGTTTTTCTGTATTTTATTAATTTGTACTGTATCTCAGGGATTAGCAAACTGCTATATATTAATTAAATCTGGCCACCACTTATATCGTGAAGCACATGAGATAGAATGGTTTGAACGGGGCTGGGGAGATGGCTCAGTGGACTAAGCTCTTCCCTGGCAAGCGCAAGGGCCTGAGTTCAATCCCCGGTTCCAAAAAAAAAGAATGGCTTGAACATATTAAAAGGCTTTTTAAACTCAAACAGGGACGTACACTGGGGGCTGTAGCTTAGTAGGAGGACCCTTACTAGCGATGTCTTCAGTTTGATCCCAGATGCCACCAAAAAAAGTACTAATGAAATTTTGCCGGAATGTATTCACGTGTATTAGTTTTTATGCTGTCTCTAGTTGCAGGCGTGCTACTGCAGCATAAGTGAGTGCTCATGACAAAACAGCGCATGACCCACAAAGTGGCAAGTGTTTGTGATTTGGCTCTTTACGGATGTTTGCCAGCCTCTGGTGTGACTGAAAGTCGGAGGCAAGAAACAAGTTAGGGACTGAGCTTACTTCCTTCCAGAGGGCAAATCACTTATCCCAAAAACTGCTTGTTGACCATTAGCAGTCATTTGCCAACCGGTGATTTATGGCACACTGAATGCCTGTACGCACGTACCTGATCTCTTCCCGTGCCCTCTGTCCCTAGAGCAGCACCAGCCTGTGTGATTGACAGAGCCTAGTAGTGCCTCGTTGTCGTATGGTGAGAGAAACTAAGAACGTTCAGTAAGGACCAAAATGTCTACCAGATACTGTGAAATAGAAAATGTTCCAGCAGGAAGGAGAAGGATGGAGGGTGGAAGACAAAGGAAGGAAGGGAAAAGGAAAAAATGAGGAAAAAAAGGAAAAATGGAAAGAAAGCTTTTGTAAATGAGGGGAAGAGATTGAAGGGGGAAGGTAGGGCAGTAAGGAAAAAAATGAATCAAATTATATCATGTACATGTGCAGATTCTCAGTGATGGATGTGATCATTATGTGTGCCTAAATGTGTCAATCAGGGGCCGGCCAGATAGCTCCGTGGACTAAAGCGCCTGCTTAGGCAGAGCGCAGTGACCTAGGTTCAATCCCTGGCGTGCTGGGCTGGGCTCCTCTCCCCCGGTGGGGCACTGAGACAGCAGTTGAGACTGGGCCTGGTGGCGTGCACTTGTAATCTCAGCACTTCTGAGGCTGAAAGCAGGAGAATCACTAAAGTCCAATCCCTGTAGACCCTGTATTAAATACATTTTTTAAAAACAGGGCCGGGGAGATGGCTCAGTAGAATAAGCGCTTCCCTGGTAAGTGCAAGGGCCTGAGTTCAATCCCTGGTTCA